GTCTCAGTGTATCGGTGTCTCAGTGTATCGGTGTCTCAGTGTATCGGTGTCTCAGTGTATCGGTGTCTCAGTGTATCGGTGTCTCAGTGTATCGGTGTCTCAGTGTATCGGTGTCTCAGTGTATCGGTGTCTCAGTGTATCGGTGTCTCAGTGTATCGGTGTCTCAGTGTATCGGTGTCTCAGTGTATCGGTGTCTCAGTGTATCGGTGTCTCAGTGTATCGGTGTCTCAGTGTATCGGTGTCTCAGTGTATCGGTGTCTCAGTGTATCGGTGTCTCAGTGTATCGGTGTCTCAGTGTATCGGTGTCTCAGTGTATCGGTGTCTCAGTGTATCGGTGTCTCAGTGTATCGGTGTCTCAGTGTATCGGTGTCTCAGTGTATCGGTGTCTCAGTGTATCGGTGTCTCAGTGTATCGGTGTCTCAGTGTATCGGTGTCTCAGTGTATCGGTGTCTCAGTGTATCGGTGTCTCAGGTAGTGTATCGGTGTCTCAGTGTATCGGGTCTCAGTGTATCGGTGTCTCAGTGTATCGGTGTCTCAGTGTATCGGTGTCTCAGTGTATCGGTGTCTCAGGTGTATCGGTGTCTCAGTGTATACTGTGTCTCAGTGTATCGGTGTCTCAGTGTATCGGTGTCTCAGTGTATCGGTTGTCTCAGTGTATCGGTGTCTCAGTGTATCGGTGTGTCTCAGTGTATCGGTGTCTCAGTGTATCGGTGTCTCAGTGTATCGGTTTCTGTCTCAGTGTATCGGTGTCTCAGTGTATCGTGTCTCAGTGTATCGGTGTCTCAGTGTATCGGTGTCTCAGTGTATCGGTGTCTCAGTGTATCGGTGTCTCAGTGTATCGGTGTCTCAGTGTATCGGTGTCTCAGTGTATCGGTGTCTCAGTGTATCGGTGTCTCAGTGTATCGGTGTCTCAGTGATCGGTGTCTCAGGAATGTCTAGTGTATCGGTGTCTCAGTGTATCGGTGTCTCAGTGTATCGGTGTCTCAGTGTATCGGTGTCTCAGTGTATCGGTGTCTCAGTGTATCGGTGTCTCAGTGTATCGGTGTCTCAGTGTATCGGTGTCTCAGTGTATCGGTGTCTCAGTGTATCGGTGTCTCAGTGTATCGGTGTCTCAGTGTATCGGTGTCTCAGTGTATCGGTGTCTCAGTGTATCGGTGTCTCAGTGTATCGGTGTCTCAGTGTATCGGTGTCTCAGTGTATCGGTGTCTCAGTGTATCGGTGTCTCAGTGTATCGGTGTCTCAGTGTATCGGTGTCTCAGTGTATCGGTGTCTCAGTGTATCGGTGTCTCAGTGTATCGGTGTCTCAGTGTATCGGTGTCTCAGTGTATCGGTGTCTCAGTGTATCGGTGTCTCAGTGTATCGGTGTCTCAGTGTATCGGTGTCTCAGTGTATCGGTGTCTCAGTGTATCGGTGTCTCAGTGTATCGGTGTCTCAGTGTATCGGTGTCTCAGTGTATCGGTGTCTCAGTGTATCGGTGTCTCAGTGTATCGGTGTCTCAGTGTATCGGTGTCTCAGTGTATCGGTGTCTCAGTGTATCGGTGTCTCAGTGTATCGGTGTCTCAGTGTATCGGTGTCTCAGTGTATCGGTGTCTCAGTGTATCGGTGTCTCAGTGTATCGGTGTCTCAGTGTATCGGTGTCTCAGTGTATCGGTGTCTCAGTGTATCGGTGTCTCAGTGTATCGGTGTCTCAGTGTATCGGTGTCTCAGTGTATCGGTGTCTCAGTGTATCGGTGTCTCAGTGTATCGGTGTCTCAGTGTATCGGTGTCTCAGTGTATCGGTGTCTCAGTGTATCGGTGTCTCAGTGTATCGGTGTCTCAGTGTATCGGTGTCTCAGTGTATCGGTGTCTCAGTGTATCGGTGTCTCAGTGTATCGGTGTCTCAGTGTATCGGTGTCTCAGTGTATCGGTGTCTCAGTGTATCGGTGTCTCAGTGTATCGGTGTCTCAGTGTATCGGTGTCTCAGTGTATCGGTGTCTCAGTGTATCGGTGTCTCAGTGTATCGGTGTCTCAGTGTATCGGTGTCTCAGTGTATCGGTGTCTCAGTGTATCGGTGTCTCAGTGTATCGGTGTCAGTGTATCGGTGTCTCAGTGTTTATGTTCGTGTATGTGTCTCAGTGTATCGGGTGCTTTTGTCTCAGTGTATCGGTGTCTCAGTGTATCGGTGTCTCAGTGTATCGGTGTCTCAGTGTATCGGTGTCCTCAGTGTATCGGTGTCTCAGTGTATCGGTGTCCTCAGTGTATCGTGGCTCAGTGTATCGGTGTCTCAGTGTATCGGGTGTCTCAGTGTATCGGTGTCTCAGTGTATCGGTGTCTCATGTATCGGTGTCCTCAGTGTATCTGTCTCAGGGTCATCGGTGTCCTCAGTGTATCGGTGTCTCATTGTATCGGTGTCTCAGTGTATCGGTGTCTCAAGTGTAAAAATCGGTGTCTCAGTTGTATCGGTGTCTCAGGTATCGGTGTCTCAGTGTACTCGTGTCCTCAGTGTATCGTGTCTCAGTGTATCGGTGTCTCAGTGTATCGGTGTCTCAGTGTATCGGTGTCTCAGTGTAATCGGTGTCTCAGTGTATCGGTGGTCTCAGTGTATCGTGTCTCAGTGTATCGGTGTCCTCAGGGTATCGGTGTCTCAGTGTATCGGTGTCCTCAGTTGTATCGGTGTCCTCAGTGTATCGGTGTCCTCAGTGTACGGTGTCTCAGTGTATCGGTGTCTCAGTGTAGAGGTGTCTCAAGTGATTCGGTGTCTCAGTGTATCGGTGTCTCAGTGTATCGGTGTCTCAGTGTATCGGTGTCTCAGTGTATCGGTGTCTCAGTGTATCGGTGTCTCAGTGTATCGGTGTCTCAGTGTATCGGTGTCTCAGTGTATCGGTGTCTCAGTGTATCGGGTGTCTCAGTGTATCGGTGTCTCAGTGTATCGGTGTCTCAGTGTATCGGGTCTCAGTGTACGGTGTCTCAGTGTATCGGTGTCTCAGTGTATCGGTGTCTCAGTGTATCGGTGTCTCAGTGTATCGGTGTCTCAGTGTATCGGTGTCTCAGTTGTATCGGTGTCTCAGTGTATCGGTGGTCTCAGTGTATCGGTGTCTCAGTGTATCGGTGTCCTCAGTGTATCGGTGTCTCAGTGTTATCGGTGTCTCAGTGTATCGGTGTCTCAGTGTATCGGTGTCTCAGTGTATCGGTTGTCTCAGTGTATCGGGCCTTGTCTCAGTGTATCGGTGGTCTCAGTGTATCGGTGTCCTCAGTGTATCGGTGTCTCAGTGTTATCGGTGTCTCAGTGTATCGGTGTCTCAGTGTATCGGTGTCTCAGTGTATCGGTGTCTCAGTGTATCGGTGTCTCAGTGTATCGGTGTCTCAGTGTATCGGTGTCTCAGTGTATCGGTGTCTCAGTGTATCGGTGTCTCAGTGTATCGGTGTCTCAGTGTATCGGTGTCTCAGTGTATCGGTGTCTCAGTGTATCGGTGTCTCAGTGTATCGGTGTCTCAGTGTATCGGTGTCTCAGTGTATCGGTGTCTCAGTGTATCGGTGTCTCAGTGTAAACCCATTGCTAGCATGCGTCCCTTCCGCGCCTGCAAGTTCCTCTCCTGCCGCTCTCCCCCCCTCCCAAACAACCCCCCCCCCTACCCCTCCCCTCCCCACACCCGTAACCCATGCAACAGACCCCTGGGTGATGGTGAAGGTGCCACAGGGAGCAGAGCAGATGCCAGCGTCTCAGCCCGGCTGCGGGCTGGTCGCGAAGCTACGGTCTACGCTGGGCGACGGGCCGCGCTGGCGTGGCCTAACTAGGTTGCGCGCGGGCGGCCTAAGGGGCGCACAGGCGGGGCCGAAACGGGCTACGCGGGCTGCTGAAGCTGCGCACGTGGGAAAAAAAAAAAAGGACCGCCCGAGGCGCGCACGGGCAGTTGAGGCGCGCGTAGGCAGGCAGGCGTGGTGGGCCCTAATCCTAGGTCCTAAGGACCTATGCTCTATACCATGTCATAATCGTAGGCTAAGGTGATGTCGACTATCGAGAGAGTTGGTACAAAGAAAAAAACCCAAGGGGTTGTACCCCACAGTGAGTACCCCACTAAGCCTACCCAAACTATAACATATATATACATATGTTTGACAGGTGTGGGTGCGGTCCGAGAGAAGATCGTAGGCTCTGATAACCAAGTGTTACGAGTGCAATTGAGTGAGCGAGCGAGGATTGCACTATCGAGACAAGAATACAATGAGCGAAAGGTTGAGCGAAGAATATATAGCGAAGCTACGGTGGTAACGGTAACGTGGGAAATTGGGGTGCGCGACGGGCCAGGTGCCGAGGTTGGGAACTGTCGAGGCGGAGGTCCGGAGCGCGGGTTACCAACCGAACCGTGAGGTTGGGTCGCATCGTGAACAGTGGCGGGAATGGTGTCGAGGCGAGTGTCGCGAGTGGTAATGGAATGTTGTGGGGTGCTGTTGGCGGGAACAGTGGTGTACGCGTTGGGCAGGGACGCGAAGTAAGGTAAAGTGATTTTCCTTACAATATACCGTAACTAGTTCCTCGAGAACGTTGCAATTCTTGTCCCAAGCACACTCCCTCACACACTCCCTCGCTAAACCATTCGCTTTCGCTAACCCATTCCCCTCCCGCCCCTCTACCCTCCTATCCGCTGATATCAAGCTCGTAGTTTCTGGAAAACAGAGAATATCCTCTTATTGCACAATGGTCGCGTAGGTGTCGTATGGCTTGAAGCATCACAACTAGGTACCCGTACTCTGTTGTGCTCTGTACAACAGAGAAGTTTGGACGAGTCCTGCAGTAGTCTGGAAATCAAATCGTTGACACTCAAAAATCATATGCGTACAGAGCCTTTTTGCACCATCGCACTCCCCTCCCTCGATCCCTATCCCCCACAAACCCATCCCCTTCCCACTAACCCACTTCGCTCTGACTTGGACGAGTCCGCAATTATTCTTCAAACCAGACCTACTTGCTCTCAGCCATAAGCCTCGAATATTCTTCACCGCCTTGAGCGCAGAGTAAACGTCTACTTGGCCTCAGCCATGAGCTTCTTGAAGTTGGTCTTGGACGAGTAGAGCGTTTGAGGCTTCCAGGCTGCGGGAACGACATTCGCGAGGGTGATCTTCTCCTTGGTGTGTCCCGCAGTGAGGCGAACGCTCATCGCCTTCTTTGCGCCCACAACCTCCTTCGCCTCCTTGCCCTTGATCCCCCAAATCGCCCTGTTGTCGTCGCGGGTCAGCTTCACCCACTTCTTGCCGTCCGCGCTAAGCTCTACCTCGGTAAGCGTGCCGGGCCCGGCAAGGCCGACCATCTGAATGTTAAAATTCTCCGCGGTAGAGTTGCTGCGCACGCGCACCGCCGATCCAGCGGTCGACTGGCAGTTGGTGCGCTTGTACGTGATGTTAACGGGGGCGGCGTCCGAACCCTGCACGATTTTCGCCCATGAGACGGCGGAGAGCGAAATCTGCTTCCCCTCCGTCTTGGTGGCGCCGACGACGCGGACGGTGACGGTGGCCTTGCCGCTGCGGCAGCGCTTAGTGTCGTTGCTGCAGATCACCTTGAAGCACGCGCCGCATCGCTTGCCGAAGAGCGCGTCAGGAATCTTCGCGGTGAGTCCCTTGCCGAAGTAAGGGTTGGCGTTGTAGTTTCCGTAGTAGGCGCATGTGGAGTTCTTTCCTTCGCCCGCGCCCTTGCTCAGCCTCGCCGTAGTCACTCCCACGGCGCTGTTACCAACTTTAGTAGCATTGCCCGACTTTGTCGCGTTGGCAGGCGCGGCAGCCGCCTTAGCAGAAGCAGTCGCGTTAGCAGGCGCAGTCACGTTGGCCGGAGCCGCAGCTGCAGAGATGCGCGGGGCGGAAAGGAGCATCGCAGAGGCGATGACGACGACTAAGAATGTGGTTTTAGCCGGAGTCATTTTCACTTCTGTTTGTAGTGGACAACGCTGAACCGATAAAGCTGGAGCTATGTGACGATTTTTAGAGGAGAGTGAAAACGACTGGAAATGTGATGAAATGAATCCGCATTGATAGCTTCTATTTAACATACGCTTGTGTTGCTTCAATGAGTAACTCCCGCGAGCCACGGGGATTGGCTTTGTTGTGACTCGATCATGAGTAACTCCAGCTTCTCGAATCTCGAGTTTTGCAGCCCGAGGCGCACGAGTTTTCAAACTGATGATTGTGGTGATTTTCCTTCACTCACCTCGATCAAATTTGCTGTGGATAATTGCGGTGAGAAGTGAAAGCCTTTCGCGAATGGCGATTGGTTCCTGAACTGACGAAATCAAGGGAGACTTGTTCAGTGGCTCGCGACAAAAATCTCGCAATTCGGTGGGACCGTGCTCCTTGCATCTCCCGCATGCGACGGCGCAATGGACGCGAGTCCGAACTATGCTGCGATTGTTGAGTCCCGTCTGCACTTGCTTGGGACTGATAATAACGAGTAATTATTCATGTACACCTAATCTGTTATGGAGTGTAAAGCGCAACCCTGACCGTACCACAAAAAACCTAGCTAGGAACCTCAGGAAACTATGCTGGGCACTTGTGGGGAGACTAAGCGTTAGGGGGAATTAAATTAGCCTGAAAGAGTCAAGGAATTCAGGCCGTCAGACAGCCCAAGTTTTACTTTGGACATTGATTAGTTACATTGAACGATAATTCACACGGTAAAACTGTGTAGGCAGATTAGTCAACGAAAAGCTCTACTTGGGAGCAGCGTTTCTGGCTATTTTGCACAGCTTGGCCATTAAGCCTGATAGTTGCAGCACCGACCCCACTCCGTCTGCTATCCGCATGTGACAGAACCCAACCTCCTGCAACACAGTTACACAGGGCAGATAAAAAAGGTAATTATTTCTCGAGTGCCGCAACACTCAATCTGTCTGCTTTCCGCATGTGACAGAACCCAACCTCCTGCAACACAGTTACACAGGGCAGATAGAAAAGGTAATTATTTCTCGAGTGCCGCAACACTCAATCCGTCTGCTTTCCGCATGTGATAGAACCCAATCTCCTGCAACAAGGAAGAGCGGAGGTAGGTATGGGTATGCATTGAGGTAAGATGAGAGGAGTCAACTGAACACTTCCGGCATGTCGTACTTTTTGACTATTCTGAAGAGCATCAGCTACTTTTGACTTGATGTCAAAAGCACCATAGCCCAGATACCAGCAAAGGAAAGCCTCTACTCACCCTGGTAGCCTTTAAGCTGACCCAAAGGATCCGCTGTACTCTTAGACTTACTCTGATGAATACCAGCTTCAGGAATTCTGAAGAGCGTCGTGATGATGTCAGACGCAGCATAGCCCAGAGCAAAGAGCTGTGTCCCCTTGTACACGGCCCTGCTGTCAACCTTCTGAGCCATGTCCCCTTGTACACGGCTTCAGAACTCCAACCTTCCCCCACGGCGTAACTCACCCTGATGAACTCCAGCTTCAGAAACTCTGGCATATCGTCATTCTTGACTATTCGAGCGTTGTGATGATGTCAGACGCAGCGTAGCCCAGAGAAGTGACCTCTGACACAACCCTTGAACCCACCTCTTCCCCACGGCGTGACAGTGTGACTCACCCTGATAAACTCCAGCTTCAGAAACTCTGGCATGTCGTAGTTCTTGACTATTCTGAAGAGTGTCGTGATGATGTCAGAAGCAGCGTAGCCCAGAGCAAAGAGGTCCCGGATGCCCTCGCATGCCGTGTCAATGTCACCCGATAGACATGCCTTGACTGTCGCTGCTACCTTGAGTGGGTGAGGCTGGTCGCACACCTGGGAGAGAGAAGGGATACACACAAAGAAAATTGGGTTGACTTAAAGAATAGCCCAGAGCAAAGAGGTCCCGGATGCCCTGGCATGCAGTGTCAATGTCACCGGATAGACACGCCTTCACTGTCGTTGCTACCTTCAGTGGGTGCGGCTGGTCGCACACCTGGTGCGGAAGGGAAAGATATGTGCATAGGGGATAGCGGGATTTACACTGGCTTAAAAAAGGCCCAGAGCAAAGAGGTCCCGAATCCCCTCGCATGCAGTGTCAATGTCACCGGATAGACATGCCTTGACTGTCGCTGCCACCTTCAGTGGGTGCGGCTGGTCGCACACCTGGGAGAGGCAAGACAGGAGAGGAGCAGACAGGCCACATTCAACAATTAGAGCACTACCACAACCACCAACGCCTGCAGTCACCTAAACCATGGGCCCATGTGGAGGGTGGAAACCAACCAATATACCCTGAAAAAACGTTTTAGGCATTCACAAACCCGAAGCCAGTGACACAGGCCTGCAGGTTGTGGATTGAGCCTTGCCCCTCTCACTCACACACTCCCGTTGCATACAGCTACACCACGTGCCTGTGTGAGTGGTACCAATATAACACACATACCCGGAACATGTTATCGGTGGTCACCAGCCCGAAGCCAGTAGCAGTGGCCTTCAAGTTGTTCAGTCCCTGGCCCTCACTCTCCCATTCCCTACGACTATGCCACTTGCCTGTGTGAATGCTATCACTCACCCGAAACACGTTGTCGGCGTTTACCAGCCCGAAACCAGTAGCAGTGGCCTGTAGGTTGTTCAGCCCCTGCCTCATGTCCCCATCTGCTGTGAACACAATCGCCTCCAACCCCTCTGGAACGTACGCCACCTGGTGGAATCACAAGGGGACGCATAAAAATGCATATGCGTGTGAATGAAAAGCTAGACCCTGCATTTTGCCACACACATCCCCTGCCCCATGACCTCATCTGCCGTCAGCATTATCGCCTCCAACCCCTCTGAAACGTACGCCACCTAGTGCACTCATTGGCAAGGGGACGGAAACAAATGCGTGTGCATATGACTGGAAAGGCAGCACAAAAGGGCCTGCCTCATGTCGCCGTCTGCTGTGAACACTATCGCCTCCAACCCCTCTGGAACGTACGCCACCTGGTGCAATCACATGGGGTGGGGTGGGGATACAGGCATGATTTGACAGTGTCGCATGATAGCTGGATCAAGCAAAAGATCTTGGAGGACACAAATCATATGACACTGTCACATTGCATGCGACACTGTCACATTGCATGCGAGGCCTGGGCGAAGTGTTTCATACATCCGCTTTGCAGGCGACTTTTTGTAGAGAGAGGAAAACACCATACCATACTACAGCGGCTTTGAGTCCTCACTTTCTCCTCCTGCACCACCAGCATCAGTCGCGCCAGCACTTGTGCATCAGTGAGGCGGGAGATTCCCACCTCACTGATGCAGCGGTTCTGAATGGGCTCGATGAGCTTAGAGCCTTCCAAAGTGATTCACATGCATCATACAGCGGCTTTCAGGCCTCACCTTTTCCTCCTGCACCACCACCAGCATGAGTCGGGCCAGCACTTGGGCGTCTGTGAGGTGGGAGAATTGCACCACGGTGCATGGGCTCTGAATTGGCTCGATGATCTTAAAGTCCCATACACACACCATACACACACCATACACACACCATACACACACCATACACACACCATACACAGCACACTGAAACTCACCTTCTCCTCTTGAACAACCAGCATCAGTCTTGCCAGCACTTGGGCGTCTGTGAGGCGAGAGAATCGCACGACAGCGCAGCGGCTCTGAATGGGCTCAATGATTTTGGAGGACACGTTGCATGCGAGGGCGAATCTGGTGGTGGAAGAGTAGATCTCCATGGTTCGTCTCAAGGCCTGCTGTGCCCCTGCTGTCATGCTGGCATGGGGGGAGGGTGGGGAGGGGGATGGGGAGGGAGGGATGAGTCGAACCGCAAAACAAAAAAGAAACAGCAGGGGGGAATTGAAGGGAGGAATCTAAGCGATTCTAAGTAGGAAATAAAGTAGGGAGCCCACACCTTGGCTAACGCTAGTCGAGTTTTGAGTCGACTCAAAACTCGTCTAAGTAGGAAATAAAGTAGGGAGCCCACACCTTGGCTAATGCTAGATGCTACTATGAATTTCCGCCCCACCTGTCAGCCTCGTCCAATAAGATGATCTTGTGCCGCCCGGGAGGCAGAGTGACTTTCTTCTGGGCGAACATCTTGATCTTGTTGCGAACCACATCAATGCCTCGGTCGTCAGACGCGTTCAACTCCAACACTGCGTCTCTGTAACTGGGGCCCAGCAGTGCATGCGCCAGGGCGAGCACACTCGTGGTTTTCCCCGTCCCAGGAGGGCCCTGCGAAATTGAGGGAGCAGGGGAGCAGGGGAGCAGGGGAGCAGGGGAGCAGGGGGGAAGGCAGGGTGACTTTCTTCTGGGCGAACATCTTGATCTTGTTGCGAACCACATCAATCCCTCGGTGCTCAGACGCGCTCAGCTCTAAGACTGCATCGCGGTAACTGGGGCCTAGTAGCGCGTGTGCTAGGGCCAGGACGCTGGTAGTTTTCCCAGTGCCCGGGGGACCCTGGAGGAATGAGGGAGCAGGTGAGCAGGGGAGCAAAGGAGGGGTGGGGGGCAAGGGAGGGAGCAGGGGAGCAGGGGAGCAGGGGAGCAGGGGAGCAGGGGAGCAGGTGAGCAGGGGAGCAGGTGAGCAGGGGAGCAGGGGGGAAGGCAGGGTGACTTTCTTCTGGGCGAACATCTTGATCTTGTTGCGAACCACGTCAATGCCTCGGTCGTCAGACACGTTCAGCTCTAAGACTGCGTCTCGGTAGCTGGGGCCCAGGAGTGCGTGTGCTAAGGCGAGCACACTTGTTGTCCTGGGGGGCCCTGTGAGATTGGGGGAGGGAGAACAGAGGAACCAAATCAATCCCTCGGTCGTCAGACGCGTTCAGCTCTAAGACTGCGTCTCGGTAGCTGGGGCCCAGGAGTGCGTGCGCCAGTGCGAGTACACTGGTCGTCTTGCCCGTACCTGGGGGACCCTGGGAGGGAGAAGACGGGGGAAAGCAGCAAGGGCGGGGACGAAACAGCGGAATCATGGGGTAAATGTGGAGGCCTAGCAGCCCGCCCGTGGCGGAAACACACTGGTGGGTGTGGCTGTCCCGGGGGACCTTGTAAGATGGAGGGGAGGGAGCACAAGGATACGCATCCTGCATAGTATCCTTACATACTGCGAAGATTAGATTCGGCATGTTGCCATCGCGTGCGATGACGCAGAGTCTCGAAACCGCGTCTTCGTTGCCCACTATGTCCTCCACGCGCTGCGGCCGGTACTTCTCCACCCAGGGAATGTCGTACACGCGATCGCGCTCCGACCGCCCGGATTTCCCGGCAAGATTCGAGGGTTCCGCAGCGCTGCTACCTCCGGGTTTGCTGCTGCCTGCGACGGCTGCATCCGCGGCAGCCATTCAGGCTCTGCCACGTGGTGCTTCTGGAGAACTCGTGTCGCTAACCAGTGGGCGGCGAGTATTGCGGTGCTTACAACGAAACCTGATGTGGCTTAGAACGGAGGATGAATTCTGGGAATCTGAGGCACTAATGATCGCGAGGCGGGGTTGATGCAATCAAAGTGGAGGAGTCAAAGCAGCGTGGCGGACAGGGAGCCATGGCCAATTTCTGTAACGAGTTGGGATTTAAAAAATTGTCAATATGATGCTGGGTGGGTAAACACGATCAGTGTACACTGTACCTATATTGATCAAACAACATCCAGTCCTTCAGTTATTCCCGTTCACGCCTCAATTTTCCCTTCCCGCCAAAATGTGCTCTAGAAAACAGTTTTCTATGGGGTTGTGGACTACGTGCGACTCTTGTTCATGTGCGGTCTTTTTCGTTGCGTCGCGGTGAGGAACGGTAAGACCTTGACCGTTTTCCACCGTGTGAAACCGTCATGGGCCACGAATAAGAACCATAAACGTACGCACTGTCACGCGGGGCATTGAGGGGAGCTCAAGCACAGTGAACCTCGCCTTGTCAATCCCTATGCTCCTCACCTCCAACTCCCACAATAACTCCCACAATAACTCCCACAATATCTCCAAGACTTCACACCTGTCTTCCTCGCGCTTGGCATTGAACTTTTTCCACTCGTATCATCTCGCCTCTAATTTATGGACGTCCTCGTTTCGAAATTTCTCCCTATCTCAGAACGAAGACAGGATCGAACGTCGTGAACATGCGAATCCCTTATGGCCTTCGCGACTGACTTAGGAGAACTGACTGTCCATGAAAGGAGAGACAAGGAGGACTTTTTAGTAACGACGTGCATCTCCCTTGCTCGTCGTCAGTGTGAGATCTTAGGCGTGCTTGCTACACCACCGCCAGCAGCTTTCACGTTTGCTTGTCCGAATAGCTTTTATTCCTCGTAGCATATGGCTTTGCTAGCAGCGCCAATGCATTTATCGTAGGCGCAGAGCTTTAGTTAAGCTGTAGAACCTAGCACCGCAATTCGCTTGGTTTTTATGTTCCAATATACGGGAATTAGATTTTGGCAGTAAGTTATGTCGAGTTTCTGGTCCTTCCACCGGTGATGCCGTTACAGCTTTTAGGTTCAGTCAATTCACTTTTCAATCAAAACCGTCGATAAATTACATTGCAATAGATATAGTTAATCACGCTATGGCGTCGACATACGTCCATTATCAGGCAAACCGACAATTCGCTTAGAATAGGACAGCAAGGAGCGAGTGGAAAAGACTTTCCTGCGAATTTAGGAAGAATATTTCCGACCGGCGGCAACTTATGTAACAGCGTTACAGTGTAACAAGATTTGTTCTTCATGGGTCAGTTGGAAACAATTATCGGGTCGGTGGTGGTATCGGGTACAGCATTCGCAGCTTACGTTCTTATGATGGTGGCCGAGCACACCAAGGTGAGTGTTCTTATGACGGATGCTGCAGTGCTAAAGCCCACTGCCCCCCCACTGCTGATCCCTACTGCTCGCCGTTGCTTATACGCACTGCCTCATCTCTTCATGTATAACCACCTCCCAGCCCCCCATACCAGAAAATTGCACCTCTACGCATGCCACCTACGGCATCCCCCCGGGTGAAAACAGTATTGGCTCCCAGGTGGCTTTTGAGCCAACTCTATACGCACCCCCCTCTCCTGTATCTCCCTTCCCCAGCCTCCCACTACCAGAATACTTCTGTTCCACGCCTGCCACCAGGCCATTGCACCTACAGCAAGCCTCAAACTCACACCTTCGCCTTCCCTTCCCCCTTCTCTTTCCTCCCAGCCGGTCATACCAGAGGACTGCACCTCCACGCCTGCTGCCTGCGGCGTTCACCCGGGTCCAACAGTGGGCCTTGGGATTGCTGCCATAATGTTTTGAGGGCACCTCAAATATAGACCTCCACCCCTTTTGTCTCACCCTCTCGCCCTCCCAGCCGGTCATACCAGAGGACTGCACCTCCACGCCTGCCGCCTGCGGCGTTTCCCCCGGTCCAACAGTGGGCCTTGGGATTGCCGCCATCTTCTGCTGCTTCCTCTCAGCGTGCTTCGCCCAGGTGGCCGTTCGCGGGCCGCACACGGCGTATCTATCAATGAGCAAGGCGTTTGTGAAGCACCACCGATGGGGGGTCTCCGTTTGGTACTGCCTAGCGTGGTAAGCCTTTGGGCCCCAACCACACCACACCACACCGCACCACACTACACGGCGTATCTATCAATGAGCAAGGCGTTTGTGAAGCACCACCGGTGGGGGGTATCCGTCTGGTACTGCCTCGCATGGTAAGCAGCTTGGCTTGGCATGCTGTAGTGTCGGATCGGCCTGCAGCACATCACACCACATTGCACCAGTGGGTCCAACAGTGGGCCTTGGGATTGCCGCCATCTTCTGCTGCTTCCTCTCAGCTTGCTTCGCCCAGGTGGCCGTTCGCGGGCCCCACACGGCTTACCTCTCAATGAGCAAGGCGTTTGTCAAGCACCACCGGTGGGGGGTCTCTGTCTGGTACTGCCTAGCATGGTAAGTCTTTGGGCCCCACCCACACCACACCACACCACACTGCACTGCACCACACCACACCACACCACACCACACTGCACTGCACCACACCACACCACACCACACCACACCACACCACACCACACCACACCACACCACACCACACCACACCACACCACACCACACGGCTTATCAGTCGATGAGCAACGCGTTTGTGAAGCACCACCGGTGGGGGGGTCTCCGTCTGGTACTGCCTGGCGTGGTAAGCGTGTGTCTCTCTGGCGTGGTCCGTGCCTCGCTTCTGTTCCTTTCACCAAGGCGGCGCCCAGGTGGCCATTCGCGGGCCCCACACAGCGTATCTATGAATGAGCGTTTGTGAAGCACCACTGGTGGGGGGTGTCCGCCTGGTACTTCCTAGCATGGTAAGCTGCGTGGTATCAATTAGCCCCCACACCACACTGCACCACTGCACACCACGCATACGCCTCGATGAGCAAGGCATTTACACCAGCGAACCCACCCCACCCACCCCACCCCACCTCAACTCACCCCTCCCCACTCCACCCCACCTCAACCCATCCCACCCCATCCCAGGTGCTTCACGCTTGTGCCCGTGTGCTACAGCTCGTATCTTGTCTGGCAGCAGTCAACAGGCAGTGGGGCAGTCCCAGTGAGTTTTCCTCTCACCAGTGTTCCCTCGTGAGTGTACCCCACTTAGAGTTTTTCTTTAATTTAGAGTGTCCTATATAGTGTTTTCCCAAAATAGGCCTTTCCTGTGCCCGTGTGCTACAGCTCGTATCTTGTCTGGCAGCAGTCAACAGGCAGTGGGGCAGTCCCGGTGAGTGTCCCCTCAGTAGTGTGCCCCATATGAGGGTATCTCGTATAGAGGTTTCTGAAAAAACTTCAGTGTTTACCAAGTGGGTCACCCGCATCATCCCGTCTTCCCTACGTTCTCATATCCACCTCAGGTGGGTCTCATTCTGCTGTGCTCGAGCCTTCATTCCTCATCCCGCCGTGATCCCTTGCCTCTCATCCTCTCCCCCTTCCTTCCGACCTCCCCCCCCCCCTCTCAGGTGGGCTGTTTGCGGGCATGGGGTTCATCATGCTGTGCTCGTTCATCCCTTATCCATTCATCACTCATCCCTTCTTTCACATTCCTTGTTTTCATCCCCTTCCTCTCCCACCTCCTCACTTCCTTCTCTCAGGTGGGGCTGTTTGCGGGCATGGGGCTCATCATGCTGTGCTCGGCTCATCTTGTTACCTCATTTCATCCCTTAGTTCCTCCCTCCCTATCCCTCCTCCCACTCCCTCCTCTCAGGTGGGTCTGTTTGCGGGCATGGGGCTCATCATGCTGTGCTCGGGAGTGCTGTGGGTGGGCTTCGTAGCAATGAATTTCAATGCGGATAGACTCATTCTCGCTGGGGTGGAGGATGAGGATGAGGATGTGAGTATCATGTGGTGTATGCAGTGTGCAGTGTGCAGTGTGCAGTGTGCAGTGTGCATGGATGTGTACATGCATCGGTGATGGGGAGTGCTGTGGGTGGGCTTTGTAGCAATGACCTTCAACGCGGATAGACTCATTCTCAGCGGCGTGGAGGATAAAGATGAGGATGTGAGTAGCTTGTGTGGTGTGCACCATGGTGTGCAGTGTGCATGTATGGTTGTATGGGAAAATGGGGAGTGCTGTGGGTGGGCTTTGTGGCAATGAACTTCAACGCGGATAGGCTCATTCCCAGGGGGTGGAGGACGAAGCTGAGGACGTGAGTGAAAATGGGGCATGGTTACAAAGCACTATCCTTGGTTTCATCCATAGATGTGTTTTCTGAGATGTCTCAAAGAACTTCAACACACATAGCCTGATTCTCATCCATTCATTTCTACAGATATGGGGTGGGGGGTGCATGGGGGGTGGGTATCGCTTGGGTGCAGGGACAGGTGTTGCCTCACTCTCCACTTGCCACTCCCTGTGCAACTATTCCCTGAAATTCCCCCACCTTTCCTCTCCCTACATGAACCCCTCCCCCCAACTTTCTTGTCCCTGTGGCAGTTTACTATGTTCTTCCCACCACCAGCTCGCTAGCAGCACACACTGAATACGGTCGTTGCTCGCCCCCATCACCCCTTCCCCCCTCCGCCCCGGCTTGAAGTGTAGGGGGAAGAAGGGGGGGCAGCTTGCCTTGGGTTCCTTCTAACTTCTAACCTTGCTGATGGTATAGGTGCTGGCTGGTGTTTCTAGGCACCAGTAACCAGTAACTGCATCTGCATATTGAAAAAAAACAGTTTTTATTTTATTGATTATTGGTTTCCCTATCCACTGCAAGAAAGCAGTAGTACGGTATTTCATAGTCAATCCATTATTGTGGATCCTGACTCCTGAGGAGAATTATGCCAAGTGCTTCCTTCATTACCAATCCTATGAAGAAGTGCATCTGCTTCTGCTATCATGGACATGAGAACGTGCATTAAATACAATAATCTATATGAGTGCTGCTTTGCCAGCAGGCTTACTCGTACCGTAAACATGGTTGGTTTCGAAGCCTGTCACGTGGTGCTGCTTTTATTGACATGAGAACGCCCATTAGATACAAAAATCTACAGCAGTGCCCGGCTGCTTCGCCAGCAGACTTACTCGCACTGTACACATGGTTGATTTCTTAAACGGACGAGTACTGCCGCCGACGCCGCTGCTGCTGCTGGTAGTCTTGCGATCGAACGGTTCACTCTTGCTGCTTATCACCACCTCATGTTTACCAGCTGCTGCCATTTGCCCATGGCTGCTGCAATTGCTCAGGCCATGAGCCTCTGAGCAATTATGACTGCTACACTCCAACACTGTAGACGATTCTGCAGCAGGGGATGCTTTCTCTCCCCCTCCTGCTGCTCCTGCTCCTTCTCCTTCCCCTGCCCCTGCCGTCAATGCTGCTCCTGCTCCTGCCCCTGCCTCTGGTTTCAAGTCTGCCCCTGCTCCTACTCCTGCTGCTGCTGCTCTCGTGCCTGCTTCCCCTGCCGCTGCCGTTGTACTACTCACATTCCTCTTGTCTTGAGGCCCAACCCACAGCTCCGCCCACGAATTGGCCATCAATCTCCTCCGCCAATCACCCTCAGCATTGGCCCCAGCCCCAGCCTGAGCCTCGGCCCGAACCTCAGCCTGAGCCTCGACCCCAACCTCCTTCCCTACCCCTGCAACCGTCCCTTTCCTCCTGCTTTCTATCCCCACCCATTTCTCCCCCCCACTCCCCTCCTCCCTTCTCCTTTCCCTTTCCTTCTCCTCCTCCACCTCTTCCACCTTCCCCACTCTCTGCCCCCGCTCCTCCTCCTCCTCCCTCTCACCCCCAGCCTCCCCCTCTCCCTCCTCTCCTCCTCCCTCCAGTTCCAAATACAGGAGAATCTGTCCTCCCCCTCTCTGCACACCCACTGCCCTCTGCCCTCCTTTTCTCAGCAACTGCTGCAGTACTGTAGGAGTGAGATCCGCCCCTGCTGTCTTACCTACTCTACTGAAGAGGTCTTTAAGGAGGATGGGTGTTGGAGGGTAGTTCCGACAGCAAGGTTTAGAATGTGGGGTAGTGTTGGTAGTCACCCTACAGCTATGCTCTTTTTGTTGTTCCTGCCCGAGAGATGCAGGCGCGTGAGACTGCTGCCCGTGCGACTCGTTACAATGTGATCCTGTACTGTGCGAGTGCTGCAGTTTCTGTGGTTGGCACCAATACTTCTGTCCCTTGGTTGCCTCTGCTCCTTCTGTTCCCTCTGCTCCCTCTTCCACCTCTGCTCTCTCTACTCCCTCTGCTCTCTCTACTCCCTCTGCTCTCTCTACTCCCTCTGCCCTCTCTACTCCCTCTGCTCTCTCTACTCCCTCTGCTCTCTCTACTCCCTCTGCTCTCTCTACTCCCTCTGCTCTCTCTACTCCCTCTGCTCTCTCTACTCCCTCTGCTGCAACCAATTTTCCACACCCATGTAAACGCCCAAAACCCTCCTTCCCTTCCTCCTCCTCTCTCTCCTTCCCCTTATCTCTCTCCGTCCCCTCCTCTCCCCCTTTCACTGCCTCACCCCCCTGTCCCTCGTCTCTCTTCGTCCGCTTCTGCAACTGCTGCAGCGGCGGCAGCAGGGAGAACATGGCTCTTGCAGGGGCATCCATACCAGAAATGCGGCCAGATAAACTGATGTGGATTCGGCCAACCTGTGAGCACATGAGTGGAGTGAGAGCAAGGGTGTGTGGGATGAATGCATGGGGTGGAAGCAGGGAGAACATGGCTCTTGCAGAGGCGTCCGTACCAGCAATGCGCTCAGATAAACTGATGTGGATTCGGCCAACCTGTGAGGAGAGATAGACATGGGAGAGACAGGAAGGGAAGAGAGGGATGAGAGACAGGGAGGAAAGAGGGCAAAGGCGGAAGCAGGGAGGACATGGCTCCGGCAGGAGCGTCCATCTTCTTTCTCAGCCTCCTCCCCCCAGCAGCCCTGCAGTGCAGCCCTCCTCCCAAACAGTAATGAGTCGTGTGTAGAGTCGACTCAAAACACGACTGCATGAGCATCCATCTTCTTTCTCAGCCTCCTCCCCCCAGCAGCCCTCCAGTGCAGCCCTCCTCCCAAACAAGCAGGCAGCAGCAGTAGTGCTGGTCGCACTGCTTGCACCCCACTCACGCTTGCACAGGCACAGCCAGAGACATGTACCTTCCTCTGTTTCACTCACCTCAGCAATTGAAGCCATCTTCTTCCTCAGTCTTCTCCCCCCTGCAGCCCGCCAGTGCAGCCCGAACAGGCAGGTAGCAGCGGTGCTGGTCACAGGCTGCACCGCCTGTACCAAGGATTGGTTGTAACCGCCGATGCGGTTACCAACCACGGCAACACCGACAATACAGGGGCCTGTGAAGGAAAGACAGTGGGGAAAAAAGGGATGGGAGTAGGGTGGTTGTAGCAGCACTGGTGGTCACAGGCTGTACCGCCCACACCAGCGACTGGTTGTAACCGCCGATGCAGTTACCAACCATCGCAACACCAACGATTCAGGGGCCTGTGCAAGGGAAGAAGAGGGGGGAAGGAGGGAAGGGGGTGTCAGGGAGTTAAGAGGGTGGTTGTAGCGGTGTGACGTCTCAGGCTGGGCGGGGGGGGAAGAGGGTGGGGAAAAGGGAGGCCCTAGCAGCAGTGGTGGCCACAGGCTGTACTGCCAGCACCAGGGACTCGTAACCGTAAACACGGCTACCAACCATCACACCGGCCCCCTCTCACCGCCGCTTCCCAAAGAAGCCCGTGGGATCCAGAGGGAAACCGTTGAGGGAGAGGCGACAAGCCCTCAGGAACAAGCAACTCAAAACATTTTAAGGGCATGCAGAGAGTAGATTTGAGACGTCTCAAAACATTTTAAGCCCTCAGGAACAAGCAACTCACCCCATTTTAAGGGCATGCAGAGAGTAGAGGAGAGCTTGGGATGGTCCTTGGGCAGAGCAGCACGCGAATTTTGCATTGACTCACAAGTTACCCGCTTAGACACTCACTCAATCACCACAGGTTAAGAAGACGCAGAGGGCAGAGGAGAGTTTCGGATGGCCCTTGGGCAGAGCAGCAGGCGGCACCGCATTGTTCCTCGAAGCAGCCTCCCCTCTCACAGCCGCCCGGCCAGAGAGACCCGTGGGATCCAGGGGGGAGAGCAGAAGGCCGGTCGAAGAGGGGAAAGAAGCTACAAGCAAAGGAGCAAAGACTCACCACAGGTCAACGGGATGCAGAGAGCTGAGGAGAGCTTGGGATGGCCCTTGGGCAGAGCAGCAGGCGGCACGGCATTGTTCCTCCACGCCGCCTCCCCTTTCCACACCGTCACCCACATTGCACAAAGACTCACCACAGGTCAATGGGACGCAGAGAGCGGAGGAGAGCTTGGGATGGCCCTTGGGGAGAGCAGCAGGCGGCACCGCATTGTTCCTCCAAGCAGCCTCCCCTCCCACCACCGCCCGTCCAAAGAGGCCCGTTGGGTCCAGGGGGGAGAACAAAAGCCCGGTTGAAGAGGAAGCGTCCAGGAAGGTTCCGTGCAGCTGATCCGTCCAGCCTATGTTGTTGACGGCGTGAGATCTAAGCGCGAGCGTGAAGCTTTGCGGCGGGTTGGGGGGTGGGTTGTGAAGTGGGTTCTGAGACTGGTTAAGTGCCAGTATAGGGCTTCCAGATGGGTTTGGAGGTGGGTTAAGTGCGAGTGTGGGGCTTTGAGGTTGGTTGATAGCCAGTGCGGGCCCATTGTCAGGCATGAGGTGGGGAAGAGTGCGAGCTAATGTGGAGGTCTTAGGTGTGAGGCAGAGGGAAGCGATGAATCCGAAAGATGATTCTGTGAGATCTAGCAGGGAGCTGAGGAGGTTGGTGAACACGGTCTGACCTGTTGGGGACTGGGAAAGTGGGTGAGAAGGGGAGGAGGGGATGAGGAGAGGAGGAAAGGAGGAACATATGAGACAAGACGCAGAGGGAGGCGATGCAACCGAAGGATGATTCTGTGAGGTCAAGGAGAGAGCTGAGGAGGTTGGTGAACACGGTCTGACTGACCTGTTGGGGACTGGGAGCGGGGGGTAGTTTGGATAAAAGAGGGCATGAGGCAGAGGGAAGCGACGAACCCGAAGGAAGATTTGCTGATCTAGGAGAGAGCTGAGAGAGCTGCTGAGAGAGCTGAGGAGGTGGTAATCACGGTGTGGCCTATCTCCACAGCAGATAGCGACAGGTCTATTCGCAACAACATCGGCAAATATTCCCCAATTCAAAGTAATCACCAACACCCAACCCGACACCCCACTTACCCGGTCCTTCTTCATGTCCCAGTGCGCTTTCTCCAAGGCAGTCAGCATCGTTATCCACCTGACCTTTCTCACCCAGTACCGCACTCAACCAGTCCTCACCCCACTCACCCGGTCCTTCTTCATGTACCAGTGCGCTTTCTCCAAGGCAGTCAGCATCGTTATCCACCTGACCTTTCTCACCCAGTACCGCACTCAACCGGTCTTTTCTCATCCAATACCGCACTCACCCGGTCCTTCTTCATGTCCCAGTGCGCTTTCTCCACAGCAGACAGCAACAATTCGTTATCCACCTCCTCCTCCTCTTCCTCTTCCTCCTCCTCTTCCTCTTCCTCCTCCTCTTCCTCTTCCTCCTCCTCTCCCTCTTCCTCCCCCCCTCCTCCTCCTCCCCCTTCCAGTTCTCCCTTTTCCCCATTCCCATCCCCCACCCCCACCCCATTCGCTTCCTCTTGGATTCCCCTCCTCTTCCCCACCAGCCTGCCTGGACACGAACTGACCAATAGCGGCTGGACAGATAAGCACTCCTCTGCCAGCGTGACACCTGGAACTGGCCACAATCGCCCCGGATAGACTCTCCTGCTGCAGGCGTCGCTACAACTTCTGCTACAGCCACTGTGGTGGTTACACCTCCTGTTACAGCTGCCACTACAGTTTCTGCTACAGTTTCTGCTACAGCTGCTGCTACATCTTCTGCTACAGTTGCTGCTACAGGGACGATTACACCTCGTGCTACAGCTGCAGCTGCTACAGCCACTATTTAACATGCTCTTGCTATCTGTTCTGCTGTCATTGTTAACCTTCTCGCTGGTTCTGCTGTCGCTGCATAGCTGTCGTCTGCCGCGGTATCCCCTCTCCTCCCCAACCCTCTCCTCCCCAACCCTCTCCTGCCCACCCCTCTCCTGCTCAAGCCTGTCAAGCACTGCGCTTTCGAAACCCTCCCAACGATCCCATTTCAAGCATGGCACTGGCACTGACTGTCGTTCACACAGGACTGACTGTCGTTCACACGGGACTGACTCGAGCCCACATGATTCACCCAATCTTGAGCATTCCGCCCCACTCCCACCTCTCCTTCCTTCTCTGCTTTCACTTTTAACCTCTACTACCGTCCTCCTCCCTCCCGTCTCCCCTCCCTCCCTCTCCTTCTCCCTCCCCTCCACTCCCTCCTCTCCCTCCTTTGCCTCCACTCCCTCCTCTCGCTCCTCTCCCTCCCCCCCCTGTTCGTCCCAACACCCACACTCCCACTCCCCATCACCCCACCCTCTCTCCTCCCCCCAACCCTCCTCCTCCTCCACCTCCTCCCCCACCTCCTCCCCTTCAGACGAGCTGCTACTATCCGATTCCTCATCCTCTATAATTTCTGCTAAAGCCTCTGCTACAAGGGAAGAGCCAGCAGAAGGGGACCTAGGCAGCTGGATAGCCCTCCGGGCAGGCGAAAAAGCCGGCGAGAAACCCGGCAATGGCGAGAGGGGAGAGGTAGGGGCGAAGGGGTGGCTGCCAGAGGGAGACAGGAGTCGGTTATTTGGCGAAAGGAGGCTGTTACTAGAGGAAACGAGGCGGTTATTAGCGAAATGGGGGCGGCTAATTGGCGAAAGGAGGCGGTTACGAGGGGATAGGAGGCTGCTGCTGCTGCTGTTAGGAGAAAGAAGGTTGTTGTCTTTAAAGGAAGGGATGCCATTTCTCCTCTGTAAGAGGTTGTTTCCTACAGCAGCAATCGTTTCAACTCGTGGCATGCGCTGCTGCACCGGCACCGCTTGCTGCTGCACCGGCACCGCTTGCTGCTGCAAGGGGAGTGTTTGAGAAGCAAGATTCTGTGACGGAAGACTCGGCAAAGGAAGATTCTGAGAAGGGACGTTCTGCAGAGGAAGGTTCGGAGAAGGGTTCTGTGAACGCAAAGCAGCAGCGGAGGAGAAAGGGCTATGCATGCCCCCATCAGCCATCTCATCGGGGTTAAAGCTAAAACTATCAGCAGAGGCAGCTCTCCTGTGCCCTTGCCGTCCCCTCCCCATCCTCCCCCCCATTCCTCCCCTGCTGTTGCTGCTGGTGCCTCCGCTAGGGCTACACCAGCGGGGCGGGCGAGCTAGGGACGGGCCGGACGGGGCGATGGGAGAGTTTCTGCTGCCTTCGTTCTGCCTGATTTCGTAAGTTTGCCTTCTGCTCGTGCTGATTACGGGGTGCCTGATTTCGTAAGTTTCGGGCTGGTTGGGACCAGACTGCTGCGCGTGCTGTCTCGTTGACTGGTTGTGACTTATCTCTTGCTCGGGCTGATTCTGCTGCGGATTTGGGTGGTTATTTCCTTGGAAGTGCGGTGGAAAGCGGTTCGGATGGTGGGACGGGTGGAGGGCGGCAGAGGGCGAGACGGCAGGAGAGGAGGACGGGGAGGGGGAGGAGGAGGAGGAGGTGGAGGGGAGGGACCGGGGAGCGAGTGGGGAGGAGGATCGGCGGGGGTGCAGCGGAGGAAGGGAGTGAGGAGAATAGGAGTGAGGAGAGGCGTGAGGAGAGGAGTGACGAGAGGAGTGAGGAGAGGAGTGACGAGAGGAATGCGGAGAGGAGTGATGAGAGGAGTGATGAGAGGAGTGAGGAATGGTATGAGGAGAACAGGTAGACGGGGTACTGTGGCTTCGAGGGTATGTGACGGAGTTGCGGCGGCTGGAGCGGGAGGTTGGGGGTGAAACCGAGGCAGGAGGCCTGGTGAAACTCCTACGAGAAAGGGAGGAGGACGAAGCAACATCAACAGCAGCAGCAGCAGCAGCAGCAGCAGGAGGAGGAAAAGCAGCAGCATGATGAGGCGCAGGAGGAGCAGGAGCAGCAACACCAACAGCAGCAGCACGAGCAGCAGACACAGCAGGATGAGCAGAAGCAGCAGGAGCAGGAGCAGCAGAAGGAGCAGAAACATCAACAGTGGTGGCGGTAGAACTTGTAGTGGTTGTACTGGTTTTGGCAGTGGCAGTGGTAGTGCCAGTGCCACGTGGCAGCTGATTATTGGGTTGCAGCCCTTCGTTTTTAACTTGCCCCCCGTGCCACTGCATGAGAAGCTGCTGCAGCACCTGCTGCTGTTCCGATGTTGTCCCTATTGCTAGCTTCATGGGCCTCTCACTCTGCTGCTGCTGCTGCTGCTGCTGTTGCCCACTCTGCTGCTGTGGCGACTCACTCTCAAGCGGCCTCTCTAGAACCAACGCCTGCTGCTGCTGTCCTTTCCCTTTCTGCTGCTCTCCCTTCTCATGCTCGGCTTTCACCTGCTGCCCTTGTTGTACTTCAGTTCCCCGCCCTTGGATTCTTCCTTGCTCCCTTCCCTCTCCTTCCATCTGCTCCGTCTTGCCATCTCCCTCCCCATGCGCCTCCTCCTGCGCCTCCCCCTGTTCCACCCCCAGCGCTTCCCCCTGCGCCTCCCCCTTCTCCTGCTCCTCCTGCTCCTTCCCCTTCTCCTGCTCCCGCTCCTGCTCCTGCTCCTGCTGCTCATCCGCGCGTCCCTTCACCCTAGCTGCCAAGCCACCATCCAGAGACAATGTCCCTGTCACATGCATGTCCCCGCTATTAGCTGCTCCACTTCCCCCAGAAACCCTAAATCCCTTATCTGCAACTCCTGGCTTCTCCTCGTAACAATAATCCTGCTCCTCCTGAGATCCCACTACCCTCCCCTCCTGAATCCCCGGTATACTCGTCTCCTGTCCTGCTATAAGCTTCTCCTGTCCCGGGTATTGCTCTGATAAACTTCTCATAATCCTCACCTTTCCTCCTCTGCCTTCCCCTCCAGAATCACAGCCCTCACTGCCCAAATCCTCGTGTGGCGCCTCCTGACGTGGCACACGCTGCTGCTGACGTGGCTCCAGTGGCTGCTGCTGCTTTCCCGCGTGAAACGGCCGGTGGCGCTGCCACCAGTGGCCTAGCCTCGCCTGTAGCTTCTTCCTCGGAATTTGCTGCATTTGTTGCATTTGTCGGAGTAACCTCATTGGACTTCGCCAGCTTCCCCTTTCCTCCTCCCCTTCAGTACCCGCTAATTTCGCCGATCTGGATCTGGAAATGTAAGAAACTCGGAAATTAGCATCTGTGGTGTAGCTGGGAGCCTCATTCCAGGCCGAGTGGTCGATCGCGTCTGCCACGTCATCACTACCTCCTGGGCTTTCTCCTGCTTCTCCTTCTCTGTCTCCTGCGTCTCCTTCTTTCTCAGGTGCAGCAGCAGAAGCAGCAGCAGCAGAATCACCATCGCTATCTCGTATTCCATTCTTGACATCTGATTCGTGATCCAGATCGTCTGACGGTAGGCTGTGGAATCGGATCAGCTGCCGTCTATTTTCCCCAAGGCTAGTTCTACCTTTCTCGACCATACTGCTGGTTACATCGCTGCTGGTTACATTTTTAGAGTTACTACCAAGGAAAGCGCTGTGTACAGGAAGACAGCTAATTTCCGTTGCGTTCCCGGAGCTACTACTACTTAACCGCCGGTTGCTGCTGCTGCCGTCAATTCTGCTGCTACTGCTGCCGTCAATTCTGCTACTGCTGCTGCCGTCAATTCTGCTGCTGCTGCTGCTTCTGTCAATTCTGCTGCTGCTGCTTCCGTCAATTCTGTTGCTGCTGCTGCTGCTGCCGTCAATTCTACCGCTTCTGCTGCTGCTGCCGTCAATTTTACTCGGGCTTCCCCCGCCGAGTCTCCAGCTGCTTGCCAAGCTGATGCTCCGTAACGCAATATCGAAGCTCTTTCTAACGGAACCTGGTGCATTTTCTCCGTCGTTGTTTTCCGATTTCTTAATCCAACCTTGCTTCGCAACGGCATTCGCTGAGCCTTCTCGCGCGCTCTCCAGCGACCGCCTTTCGGCACGAGGCGATCCGTTAGAGGTGTCGTTATACGCGATATTAGTGACTCCCGGAACGCGGAATTTTGTCTCGTAATCGGAATCATGCTCCGCGACCGGGCTCAGCGGCAAGACGCTCACCTCGGACGGTGACGACGACTCCATTCGGCTGAAATATTTAAACAAAAACGACTTTCTCCCTAAGCGAGTGAAATCATAACGCGGATGCGATAGGAAAACATTCCCAAACTAAGCGAGCCGAATCCTCAAGTCGGAGTTTGACAACGATAAGCTAGTCCTACACACACCTACTCCACACACAATTCAAACCACTTGAATTTTGACCTTATGGGCGCTCGATCTGGGTTCACATCACACCATGGTCCATGATCTCCCGCTTCCCATGGCCATGGCGTGGCATATGGCCTGTGGCTCACCTGGGTTTCTTGTTCATGTCGAGGGGTACGGACAGTTGCTGAAGAAGCTTCGGTTTGTGGTGGTGTGGCGAGGGAAGTGGGGGGCGGGGGAGGGGGAGTAGAGGTTGCGGGCGGGAACCTACCCATCCCCCCCGACTCGTTTCCCGCCCGTCAAACCATTCTTTGCTTCCGCGCGCCATGGTCTCCGCCGCGGTGGTCTTTGCACCGTGTCCTGTGGTGGCGAAGCGAGGTGGGGATGCGAGTGCGTGTATCCAGCTCAGGTACACATGGCCGAAATTGTTACCACTCAGTGACGAAACCCTTTGCAAGTTACATCATGGTTATGGCTGAGAAAATATTGCTCTCACGTCACATCCCTCAGCTGAAATCCACATAAGGCTTATATGAGATAATAAGTGTAATTTATCCCATTAAATTTTAATATTTATATTTTAAACAACTTTGGCACATTTTTTATGGATGAAATTACACAGAAAACCATTTGAGCTTTTAAAGATAGATAAGTTTGTTGAAGCTTGACGATTAGTGCTATTAAATGCGGGAGCAACTTCTACCGAATATAGATCTCGTGGCTGGTGTGCACCCTCCAAGTCAGTCGCGTCTTCCAGAAGCACTTCAGCTCAAGGGTTTCTGTTGGTGGCCGAATCGACGACCATTGACATGTCAGATTCCAACATCGACGGTTCTCATCAACCAAAAACGCAGTCGGTGAGGTGTCTGCCAAACTTTCTTCCCTCCCAAGATTCTTCCGTCTTCCACCTTTCAAGGGAACTCCATAAGGAAGGCTCTCAAAACGAGTCCTCGCGATTCATTCCATATGATCCCATCCCAAGGTCCCTCTTGCGCGCTTCCTGTCTTTTCGACCTTCCAGTAGGTGTGAGTTGTGATTCTGCCTAGGGAATGCCTGAAACAGACTTGCTTGCTTTCAAGCTTCATCATCTGTATATTCTATAGCTGATCCTTCATCGCGACGAGGTATCAGCTCGAAAGTCTCGTTGCCCGTGACCTTGTCCCTTGACTAGTTTCGGCTAGCGTTCACACCTGCCTGTCAAATCCGCGGTTGCGCTTGCTACTCGCTTGCGCTCCGATCAAGTTCATTGTAACGACATCGTAGCGACGTCTCGACGACATGGGTGGAGGCAACGGACAGAAGGCCAAGATGGCTCGCGAGAAGGCGCAGGCCAAGATGCAGGGTAACCGAGGTACAGTAACAATCTCCTTCGTTACATATGCTTATTAGTTTCTCATCGATTTGTAGAATTATCGCGTCAACGGTTTTGTTTGTACTGAGTGAATTGTGATGTGTGTCACGACGTTCGATGCTTTTCGGTTCGCTAAATGTCTACCGGCGTTCATTCGTAGGCCTTTGCGAATCTTGTCGGGTCGTGGTTTCGTGAAGTATTACCGTTAATGACTCGATTAAGAGTAATTTCGTTCGTTTGTATTCCGTTCCTTTCCTTTTCCCTGATCATTTTTGTTCTGCAGTACTGTTTGCATTTCGAACCTTTCGACTTTCCCCTCTGACCCCCTACCCCTGTTTCCTTCCTTCCCCCTTTTTCCCTCTCTCTCTCTCTCTCTCTCTCTCTCTCTCTCTCTCTCTCTCTCTCTCTCTCTCTCTCTCTCTCTCTCTCTCTCTCTCTCACCCCCTCTCCCCATTTCTCCCCCGCTCTCGCTTTCTCTCTCTCCCCTTTTCCTTCCTACAGGCAGTCAGCTTGAGGTTAACCAAAAGGCCATGAACATTCAGGTAAGATGCGTTCTGGTTGTCAGCTGTCTGATTATGTCATGATGACCGCTAGATTGGATGATTCCACATTGTCGTTTGGGTCGTGCAGGTTGTCACATAGTCTGCTGCAGTTGATCACTTGTCAGAGAAGCTGGTACTCGCCAAGCTTTATTTCCTACTGCAAACGGCTTATGTTGACCTGTTTTATTTCTCCTCCTTGCTCGGTCTATGCAGTGCAAGGTGTGCATGCAAACGTTCATCTGCACGACGAACGAGGCCAAGTGCAAAGAGCACGCAGACGCACGGCACCCCAAGCACGACTTCCATGTGTGCTTCCCCCATCTCAAGCCGTGATTCGACCCCAAGGTACTTGTTCTAGGGTTTGGATAATCTGGATGGCGAGATAGAAGTTAGTCAGGCTGGGGTGGATAAAGGAGGAAGCTGATGGGGGGGGTTCCGGGGGAAAAGGGGTGCGGGTGCGGAAGGAAACAGGGTGGTGGGGAAAGGGGGTGGGGGTGCGGAAGGAGAGAGGGTGGGGGGTTGCGGGGTGAAAGGGGGTGGGGATGCGGAAGGAAAGAGGGCGGAGGGGGGGGGGGGGGGGGGGGGGGGGGGGGGGGAGGGGTTTATGAAGATATGGGAAAAGTATTTGAACATGTTCACATGACCTCTGTTGACAGAGGCTAGAGGAACATGAATGAGTGGTAAACCAGTGTGATAGTAAAGGTAGATGTAGAAGCATGGATGGGCTTACGGTACCTAAAAGGGATGATGGAGAGGACAGGCAGAATGAAAGGGCTTCGTATCTTACATGTTCTTTTATTAGAGCTATCACATCGGTATCTTCTTTGATTCTGCATTCTTAATATAATCAATTATACCAAGTGCGATTGTTGTGGTGTCTCAGCCTGATCCCCCCCATTTGCTGTCTTCTGCCCACCTGGTGTTATTGTGCAGGAATGTGCTCTAAGCCTATTGTGCAGGGAACAGGCTCTCTAAGAAGCAGTTTTACCTGGCCAAATATCTGGTATCCAGCTGTAGCGTTGTCTGCTTACCGTAGATTTTGATTTTCTGGAAAATAGGTTTTGGTTTTGGAGAACAGTACGGTACTCTATTTTTGTCCTAGAGCGTATTCCTACAGCCTCATATCAAGGCTACCTCGTATCAAGATTGTATGTTTTCCATGTAAAAGCTCAAGGTCAATCTTGCGCAAATTTGGGTGCTGGGGGGTGGGGGTTGTTGACTTGTCTGATTTTGCCGCAACACTTGTCTTTTCGCTGAGTCAGCAAGCTTCATTGGGGAGCGTGCGTTTGGGAACCTGTATGTCAAAACATGTTAATATAATGTTAGTGATGTTAGGCTATAGTGGGTTACTCCCTATGGGTTGCTACTTGTACCACTCATCCTGCTTTAGTCAATCATTCATGTTTCCATATTCTAACATGGTATTAGAGTAGGTACGTTCCTTAGGGCCCACCGAACGTTCCGCCCTGCCCGGACTTGAAACATTTTTTTTCCTGCCCTGCTGCCTAGCGCCAGCGCGTGCCTTACTGCCCTGCCCGCGCGCGCCCAGCTGCCCTGCTACTGAGCGCCCTGCTGCCCTGCCTGAGCTCCACCCTGTTCGCGCGCGCTCTGCCTGCAGCTGCGCCGCCCTGCCTGCCCGCGCGCTCTGCACGTGCACCCTGCTGCCCACAGCGCCAGCGCGCCCTGCTGCCCAGCGCGCCCCGCTGCCCAGCGCGCCAACGCGCCCCGCAGCCCAACGCGCCAGCGCGCCCCGCTGCCCGACGCGCCAGAGCGCCCTGCTGCCCAGCGCCCAAGCGCGCCACGCTGCCCGACGCGCCAGCGCGCCCTGCTGCCCAGCACCCAGCGCGCCCTGCTAAACCCTAAAAAAAAAAAAAAAAAAAAAAAAAAAAAAAAAAACCCTAGGTGCTGTTGCCCTAGGAGCTACTGCCTGCTATTGCCCTATGTGCTACCGCCTGGTACTG